TTGCAATATTTCATCTCTAGTCTGCACACTTTGTCTTGAAGATGTTTTGACCCACCGTTCAGCAAAATTGTTTCCATTTTTGTGCATTATTTTGTTCCAAGGATACGGTTTATAGACACTGTAAGTAATTTATGCGAACAATAACATGATGCCCCTAGTTATAAAGGCTTGAAGAAGAAGGTACGGTTTTAGCTTTATTGTGCCCTAAAAATCTAATGTTTTCAAAAAGTTTTGAAACTGGCTTAAATATTAGTTGAGTATATGACTGTGATAAATCAGGAAAGAATATGGCATGAAGGAGTACCATTCTGGAAATATGACGTCATCAATTTGATTCATTTCTCTATCTTAAACAAAAAATGACTCATTTCAAGGGTTATTTTCCTTAAGAAAATAGTGTCCACAGCCGTCGCCCACTTTAATTTTTGGATATGTTGTGTAAAATTCTTTGAAAAATCGCATATCTCAAAATCTTTGTGGGCGATGGCTGTGGACAATATTATCTGAAAGAAAATTCCATTGAAAATTGGTGTCTTCTGCAACTTTTTAAGAAAATACGGGAAATTGCACAAGTTTATGACGTCACAATTAGCATTCAGAAGGTCATGAGAGAAAAATGATTTGTATGATCTTTCTGCATGGAATTTCAATGATTCAGAAAGCATGAGTTTTAATTTTTTACATCACTTTCATTTTTAAGAAAAACACAGGGCAAGAATTGTATTAAAACCATACCTTGTTCTTTATAATCGTTGCACTTTGTGGTATCTGTGACTGTACATCATGCGGTGATGCTGAGGATAGAATGACATCAAAAGTCCTTATTCTGGGGCATTCATTTATACGCAGATTTGAGAACTTTGTTTGTATCAACTAGTTCTGACCATCGGGTGACGCCGAATTTAAATCTTAATTCAAAGGAGCTACAGATTTTCTATTTAGGTTATGGGGGAGCGTCACTGGCTCAAATTCGTGCGCAAGGCACTCGTTACGTAAGAGACTTGTGTCCAGATGTTGTTTTGTTACAAGCTGTGTCAAACGATTTGTGTCGGAGAAACACATCAGTGGAAGACATTTTTCATGAACTTGCAGACTTTGTAATTTATCTCCGTGATGCGGAAGATGTGAAAAAAGTAGTGGTGCTTCAGACATTGCATAGAATTCCCCCGACAAGACGTATCAGGTTTCATGTGGACACAGAGTGCAAGAGAGTTGATGAATTAAATAGACGCATGTCCTATTACTTGCAGAATGTAGAGGGAGCAGCATTCTTTCGCCTATCTGGTTTATCATAGTATGGTATTTCTGGCGGATGGGGTCCATTTGAATAATCAGGGAAATAAGGAATATTATAATAATTTGAGAGCTGTTATTGTTTCCTTGATAAAGTCTATCAATAATGGTGGGTACATGTTTGTGCAGCATTTATATTTAGTCTAACGATACATTTTTCAATTTTCATCTGTTTATTTTCAAAATCCACATATGCAGTGGTGATTTAATGCAATCTAATATAATGATGCATGTAGCCATATAAATATTATATCATTTAATTTATACATTTATGACACCCCCGTAAAGTTGGGGTTGTTTCATTGGATCCTGTGTATTATTTATTAACAGCTTATTTAAGACTAACCATAAAGTTTAGTTTTAGCAGGATTTTACACCCCTATATGGTCGGGGTTAGTTTTAGCAGGATCTTGCACCCCTATATAGTCGGGTTTGAATTATAGCAGGTTTTGCACTCCTTTATGGTCGGGGTTTACTCAAGCAATATCCTGCACCCCTATATGGTCGGGGTTGAATTTTAGCAGGATCCTGCACGCCTATATGGTTGGGGTTTACTTACGCAATATCCTGCACCCCTATATGGTCGGGGTTTAATTTTTAATAGGATTTTGCATATGTATGGTTGAAGTTTACTTAAGCAGTATCCTGCACCCCTATATGGTCGGGGTTTAATTTTAGCAGGATTTTTCACCCCTATACGGTCGGGGTTGAATTCAAACAAGATGTTCCACCCCTATATGATCGTGGTTGAATTCAGACAAGATGTTGTACCCCTATATGGTCGGGGTTTTATTTCAAAGGATTTATCCCCCTAAATATTGGGTTTGTTTAACTGAATATATTGCATAAAATGAATAAGATTAAGATACATATATTCCAATAGTGTTGAGATTTCTAGAGGTTTCTTATCTATAGAATTGTCAATGATGTAGATATTTTTTGAATTCTGCATATATAATCACCTCGCATTTATAGAGCAGAATTTAAAATATAAACAGAAATGATATAATTTTAGACACAGTTATAATACACTCCACTGTCATTTATTCTTATCCAGTGAAGTATCAGAATTGCAAATAAATGTAGCTGTAAGGTTAGCTAGAATTATATTACCAATATGGATTGGGCATTAAATGATTTAGATTTTAGAAATATCCAATGATATTAAACTTCATGGAGTGTATATTTAATTAAGAATTAAGAAATTCTATTGATGCCTTCATTGGTCTTTAAGAGCTCTGAAATATTTTTATTGATAATGTTATTACATAGATGATTTTTTATTTTTACAGGAAAATTGGATAACACTATTTGTAAACATATGCTAGATATTTTGCACTAGGTTTGTGTTGAACGTGGAATATCTAATGACAAGACCGCAGAACTCTCATCAGGTTTGACTCTAAGGGATAGAATGGAGACAGTTATATCTATGCTTAATAGTTTTACCTCAAGATACATTGACTGAGCTATGTAACAATCCCAGGATAGGTGTCTAGAATGCTAAACAAATTAAGTAAAATAACTGAAAATGAATTAAAAGTAGATGAAGTTATGTAGCTGATTTTCGTAATCTTGAATATCCGCTCCCCAGCCAAGAAGGATAACTCTTTCAAAAAAAATGATCATTTAATCAAAAAAGACTCAAATTAAGCTTGAAATTCAATCTTTTCGTGCAACAATTTTTATTCACGCAACTCAAGTTCTTCGTAGTCTAGAAACTGGGAAAAGTTGACATTTGTGTCCCATAAAAGTATTTAAAAATCTTTAGATAAATCGAATTTCCTTCAAGCTTGCTTTGTTAACCATGATATGAAATTTGAAGTGATATATTTGATATGTCTTCCAACGATAACACATGCTTTTTACACTACAGGTATGTGTTATATAATGATTGAAAAAAATATAAGAAAAATACCATTATGATATGAGTATTAATAACATGCAATTTTTTCCAAATTCTGGAATACCTATAAATGTTTATTCAGGTACCTTTGGCTAACAACAGGATATTATTGCATACTGACAAGCAATCGGTCGTGCAAATAGTCAATTCTGCTAAGGTCAGACTATTGGTTAGAAACTTGTAGTTAATATCACTTATTTCACTATTATATTCAAGCAGAGTTCATTAGTTAGTTATTATATCAAATTAAATTGCAGATTCTATTTTGCATTGACAGTGGCTTCATTTTTGGGCTTTGGGTCCTCGTGCATCTCAGGTCAATATTGGAAACAATAACTTTCAATAATTGATTCACACCTTTTCAACAATGTCACATTGGCATCATTAAGCTAGGTGGATGAATAAATCATTAACAATAGAGTCTGAACTTGGTACACCTAGCCATGGCCAATTTGTGGTACATTTCAATGGTAATCCCCTAACTACTAACGTGTTATTAGTTATCAAACCCTAATTGCAATACTATTCATTTCTGTAACATAAACAAATACTGTTTTAGATCACACTCTTTTCAGCAGCAGTATTATAGGGCATTCCTGAACAAATTATTAAACAATTGGGCAGGTGGAATCCATAACTATATATGCCTCAAACATTGGTGTGAGATTTGTATAATTAAAATATTATAGCTCAATTTCAATTTTGGCTTAAACGTATTATACATCTATCCATATAAAAATTTTAGTTTTTGTAGATTGTGTGTAGTCTGGGATATGGCATTCATAGGATACTGAGCTACCCAAAGTGACACCATTTGTCCTTGAGGAAAAAGCCCTCAATTTGATTTTTAAAAAATGGGTTTGGAGTCAGGGAAATTAGATCGAAGGAATTTGACTCTTTGTTTTAGAATAAATTAAATTGCACTTGGGTGGTACATTAAGGTTTCAAGGACCTGGGCACCTCGCCTGGATCATTATTGTTTCATAGTATGGAATGTTCCTGCTTATGCTGCAAGTTATTAGTCCAAAGTATGTCAATTATTTGGTCTGATATAAGTTTAATCCAAGATGAGTCTTGATTTATTACATGGAACAACTAACAAGTGTCTATTATAAACATGAACACTTATAAAATTTGAAATTTAAAGGTCAGGTGGGTGAAATGGAATGAATTAAAAACTAACATGTATACACCTAACACATTGGCGGGTGAACTTGTATAGACAAGTCCATTTGGCGGAATTCGGGGATTACCACGAATAAGGAATTTTCTCATGTCTGGCTCAAAACTCTGGGTAATCTATCCTCAGTACTGGGGAGGATTAATTTGGGGTTACCTCAGCGGTACCTGAGGGACCAGCTTGATCTTTGTGGGTACCAAGGCAAATTTTGGGGCCTACCCCTGGGGGTATTATCCCCATGTTGTTGTTGTATTCCAGGGGAGGCAGGTATAGAGTTAGGGCCCGAGTCAGAACTTGAATTCATTCATTTGATGTGGCACTCACTCTTGTTGGTACCAAGAGGTCTGTTCCCACCACAGTCACCTGTGGGGGCGCTATCGCGCCAAGGATCTAGGGAGGTCATCCCGGTAGGCAGGTAGTGATTCCCTGGGTTCCGCCGGGGTATTTACATCTATGTATAAATAGATTGTGACAAATAGTGTAAAATGTGTAAAATCAATATTTGTTACTATTCATTGCATCTGGGATTAATCGCTACCCTAGTTATAGTATATTATTATTATACCTCTACTGTAATTACTCTATATAAAATTAATACCATAAAACTGTCTATTTCCCCGAAATGAGACTATTTCCCCCATCTGAGGACTACTCCCTGAAAAAATCAGAGCTACTCCCTGGGACTACTCCCTCATTAATATTCATTAATATTTTTAACCAATCAAAATATTCGGTGGGCGGGGCGTTCAAAGAATCTCGTGTCTGTGACGTAATATGAAATTAACAGATTACGTCAGAATCAGCTGGAAAGATGGATGGGGGGAGATTTGGAATTTTCACTGAGGAACAGTTACAATCTATTATTGACAACAAGTCAAGTTTGAACACAAAAGCAGTTGTAAAAACCGCGATAAATATACTTAAAACTTATCTCACTGAAAGAGACTTAGGAAATATTGACGATTTGGTAAATGTTACACCAGAGGAATTAAACCAGTGCTTGCGGAAATTTTATGCAGAGTTACGAAAAGTAGACGGAACTAAGTATGCTAGAAAGTCCATGGTAACTATTCGATATGGACTTCAACAACACTTTCTTAAAGTTCGGAGTGAGGATATCATCAACGATGACAGATACAGCACCTCCGGTGAAATGTTTAAAGCTGTCTTGGTCCAGCTCAAGAAAACCGGAGTCGGTGAAACAAAATCAAAGGAACCTATAGTTATAGAGGATATGGAAAAACTTTATGCATCTGATGCATTTTCCGTGGATACTCCCGAAGGACTCCAGAACAAAACGTTGTTTGAGTACTTGTATTACTTCTGTAACAGAGGAAGAGAAAATCTGCGGGAAGTCCAAAAATCAGACTTTACCATATCTGTGGATCCTTCCAATAGAGAGTACGTATCAGTTATAAACAAACAAACCAAGAATCATAGAGGGGATGATATTCACAACAAAGATCATAAACAAGGCCGAATGTATGACAGACCAGGTAAATTTTTAGAGTTATCTTTCTTTGTATACTCTGCTATAATTATCGTTAAAAAAACTAAAAGTAAAAACTGTAACTTATTCTTGAAATTTAAATTTATAGGCGATCCAAGGTGTCCTGTTACCTCATTCAAGAAATACTTGTCAAAGCTGCATCCATCTAACCCCAATTTTTGGCAAAGACCCAAAAGAAAGTATTCCTATGATGAAGACACCTGGTACGAAAATTCTGCACTCGGAAAAAACACGCTATATTCTTTTATGTCCTGTGTAAGTGAGGAGTACACCCTGTCCAAACGCTACACAAATCATTGTGTTCGGGCCACCTCAATCACTGTCCTAGACCACAAGGGTGTGGAAGCACGCCACATTATTGGTGTCACTGGACATAAAAGTGAAACCTCCATCATACAGTTCTCACTTGAGCGAGGACAAAAAGCGTCAAATGTCCGACATTCTAAGTGAAAATGTGCCCCCTGCTAAGCGATCTGTTAGATGTGTTCAGTCCAAACCCTGTCCTGATAATTTTCCAGAAATGTTCGATTTCTTGGATGATGACCTCAACAAAATTCTTTGCGAACTTGGAGATTACGAGTTTCAAAACTCCAACACAGGATTTGTTTCTTTACCCATGGCTCAAGTTCCCAACAACTTTCACTTTTCAAACTGCCAAATAACATTTAATATGCAAAACAACTAAAAATGTTCACTTAATGCTGACCGCACAATTAAGATTTTTAGGCTACTCTGCTTAATTTATTACAGTGATAAGTTGTGGTCAATCCACATGTATATATGTTGACTGTTGAAACTAGTTTTATTGAAGACATTATCTGTGATATTATTATTTTAATTTATTTATCAATTTATCTGTGATATTAACTGTGATAAATGACTTTAATGCTGACTATAGAAATATATTTCTGAAATAAATGTCAAATTAACTTTGTTTTAAAATGTTATCAATTTTTAAAAATTAAATTCATTGAAAATTTAATAAAATTTCATTTTTTTTTTCTTTTTTGTGTTTCTTTGGTCTTAAAATAGCCTAAAAATATGGTTTAACGAATACTTTTTAAAATTGTTTCGGTATAATAAAACAGTTATAGGATGGATTTTCGGGAAATAGCAATTTTATGGTCCCCCTCGGGAGGAAACTATTTCCCTCGGCGGCTTCGCCGCCTCGGGAAATACAATGGAGTTTCCTCCCTCGGGGGACCATAAAATTGCTATTTCCCTCAAACCCATTCTATAACTGTATATTATTCCTCTACTGTTATTACTCTATATAAAATTAATACCATAAAACTGTCTATTTCCCTGAGAAGATACTACTTCCCTCATTTGAGGACTACTCCCTGAAAAATCGGAGCTACTCCCTGGGACTACTCCCTCATGAATATTTATTAATGATTTTAACCAATTAAAATGAACAGTGGGCGGGGCGTTCAAGGAATCTCGAGTCTGTGATGTAATGTTATTATGAATGTCACTATATATGACGTCAAAATATTTCGACATGCGATGTCAAAATCATACTGGGACTAGCAAAATGAAGACAACGATAATCCTTCGAAGTGTCAGTGAAATTATTTTATATATTTTGATAATTTTATTTTCCTCGGTATTGATGCATTAGTTATCTTACAATATTTTTAATCACATGCATTTGTAAATATTTAAATGCCTCTATATTGTTTTAATAAAATGTCTGAGTCTCTAGTTGAATAAATCTCCCATGATTGTTTCGGTATAATAAAACAGTTATGGAATGGGTACTCGGGAAATATCAAATTTATGGTTCCCCTCGGCAGGAAACTATTTCCCTCGGCGGCTTCGCCGGCTCGGGAAATAGTTTCCTCCCTTGGGGAACCATAAATTCCCTCATACCCGTTCCATAACTGTATACTATACTATTATGTACTATATATTATTCAAGTACAATGTAAATCAATGGTTGGAACAGTTAATGTTTTTTTTTATATAAATAAATCACTCCTCACATGGGTTGTAACAAGGATTTTTTTTTAGAAGTATTAGATATCTACTTTTATTACATAACTCCAAATCACCAAAATGGGGATTAGTGTGCATCTTACTGAAAACAGATCAACGTGAAACATTTTATTTAAATACTCAAAAAAAAAAAAAAAAAAAAAAGAAAAAAAGAAAAAAAAAAAATTATACAATTGTTTATTTCTTTTAAAACTGTATTTTGTTTCGAGTAAGGGAGTCTTGTTTAGAATTCATGGTATAATTATATAATTTAAGTTCTGCATCTTTAACTTGATTCATATTACAAAACTATGTACTCCTTATACAACAAACATTTTCGTCATCAAGCACAGAAATGCTTGCTTCTATCAGGATTGACCCATACAGTATATATATTTATCCCATGTTTACCCCTTTGTCCCGTGGATATGACTCATTGGATATTTCTTCATATCCCACAGTTAAGTGCAGTTGTGACGTCACAATGGTTTTTGCTTTAGCGTGATGAAGAAAAATAAAGTGGATTCCTATATGAAACTGTGTAAAACATTGGTTGTGAAGTATTAAACATGGGATAAAAAGAATCTCCCATGATATGTAGTTGGATATGACTTTTATCCAACTCGTTGTGTGTTTTTATCCCCTCGCCAAGGCTCGGGGATAAAAAAACACACAACTCGTTGGATAAAAATCATATCCAACTACAAATCATGGGAGATCCTATATATATTAAGGGGATGAAGGACACATGGTCACATGACTCTATTTAACTACGTCATAGTCTCCGTTTATATAAGCGCAAAACGTGTAAAGCATCAGTTCTTGTATAATTTTTTGACAATTTTTTTCTTTAATTACCATCTAATATTAAAAAAAATGAAAAGTTTAATATTCTTCCAAACGTTAACAAATTATGAAAAAGATTGATCCACTCCTCTATTTCCCTAAACTGCGTGTCCAATTCGTCGATGACGTCATACACGATCTGTTAGTACAGCAAGATCATACTCGGTGAATACAGGGGCGGTATTGTTATATAAAAACAGGTCATAATCAGTATATGATGAAATATTTTGAGAAACAGGGAGCACAAAAATTACTTTTGCATGGCTGATGACGGAAATCTTATGTAGGTATATCTTATTTCGCTTATTTAGCTTACGTGTGACGTCATAGATGGTTTTTCCCGTACTCGAGAAATGTAAACATGACACGTTTTTATCATGCTTATGTCCTCTTTAACGATGCCCTGTGCAATATTGAGGTCAGCTTCACCATTCGAAATTTTTACAGTTAATAATTAATTAGAAGGACTTGCATTTCAACGTAAATTTAAAAAAAATTTGAATGATAGAATTTTTTGTGAATTACGTTTTTTGTTGTTTAAGTTGTCTTAAAAAGTTCGTAATTTTCCCTATCAAAATGCAGTGTGATAGAAGAAACTTACTTTTTCGAATTTTAAATCCTATTCAAACTCTAAAATATTTTAAAAGATAAATGTTTACTCACATATTTTTATATATGCTTTAAAAATCCCATTATGGACAGAGTAAAAAGCCCGGAAACGTGGAGAATTAAAACTCCACTTAGATACTGTAGGGCATAGTATTTGTCAATCAATATCTCTAAAATAAGGTAAGAAACCTAATGATATAACTGCTTTAAGATATGTGGGACATACTTAATTAGAAATATACAAAATATAAAAAAAATTGAATGACAAGTATTTTTTCAGCTAAAGGTACTTCTTCCCCTTAAGTTATATATATAGCACGTGTGTAAAAGATTGTCTTCTGCAATCACTCAAAACAGGACAGTAAATGATCCTTACTTGCAAAAATGTAGTGGCGTAAAGCTGTTTATATTTCACAATGTTTATAGATGTTAAAACGGTCGATAGGAAACATTCATATTTAAAGTCCTTCTGTGCCTTTTAAGGCCTACTCTAATTTTACATAGTTTTCATTTTCTTCCCCTTCAAGGTCATCCATTAGTCTGACCGTGGGTAGACTTCCTACGAGACAAAAATTACAATCAAGACAGTTGTTAACATCTTTCCAAGATGTTAACAAAGTGATGGCAGAAAAAAACTCTACGTTTCCATATCAGTTCATTATAGATATTTGAATATATGAACTGATTTTTGGTACATCTAGATCTTGTCATGTGGAAATGTTCTTCTTGAAGAGCGTAAGCGTTGAACATGACTGTCGATTTTCTTTTATCAAAGGTTTTCTTTTTCATATGTTTTGAAATGATAAATCAATATGTTTTGTGCTTCATTCGGTGTAATAAACAATTCATTGCATGAATATTTAATATTTGAGAAATTTGCAAATTTCTTCTCGCATGAAAATACATTCCCCTCGGGCTTTGCCCTTGGGAAAATGATTTTTCATGCGGTGCACTTTCAACAGCGGATTTCAGAAAGCAGAACTACAGTAGTTGCATACTCGGACACTTCACTCATTACAAAATTAGTATATTGATAAAGTTTATTAAATCATTTCGAATGAATTTTACCAAAGAAATCCACAATTATTGAGCAAGCAGGAAATCTAATGAATTCTAAGTGCACTGTGACAACAACAATACGCTGAAGTCAAACCCTTTCATATTTCTTGTTGACAAACCACGATATGATTGATTGATTGATTGATTGATTGTAAGTTGTTTTACGTCCCATTCGATAAGTTTTCACTCATATAGAGACGTCACCGTATACCTGTGAAGGGCTTCAAATTTAGACCTATACTCGGCAGTCAAGGTCATTGAGAAGTAAGGGTTCTTTATCGTGCCAACACCTACTCGGTTTTTAAGGTCTCATCTGAAAGATCCGTGATTTTCACTTCTAGTGCCGGGTGCTTGGCGAAGGAACAGTCACTACGTATGTTTACGTTTTAGGTTTGACGCGGCGCGGCGAACGAGAATCGAACCGGGGCCTCCTGATCATGAAGCGAGCGCCCTACCACTAGGCTACCGTGACCGGTAACCACGATTTGTCAATACTCTGAAAGCAACCTGTTAACATATTACATGTACATAGTGACAAACCGCTATACATATATATGAAGACGCTGAAGTCCAGCCCACCTTGCATATTACAGAGTACAAATCACCATGAAATAACTATAAAATGAAGTCCACCCCTTGCACATTACATAGTGACAAACCACTGTGATATACATATAACAGAACGCCGAAGTACATCCCTTACATATAAAATGGTGACAGACTACTTCAAAGGGGCCTCTACACAGTTGGATCGCCCTTTGTTTACAATTTAAGTTTCTATTTTTATTTAAAAAATTAGTTTATTAAATTGAACTTACAGAAAAATTCTTAAAATAAATTGGAGTTCTTCATAACATTATGTCAAACATTCGTATTTATAAACATGGTCTCGAGCTCTTTTCTTGTTAACGTTTTACCGAGTGTGTTCAACTCTACACACTTCACTGAGCACGGGCTGACATTACTCGTCAGTTGTTTTTGCTTTCACATATTTCTACTCTGAATTTATGGGATTTTAGTTTTAATATTTTTTAATTAATGCGCAACAAATTATCGTATTTTCTTAGAGTGCTGCAGGTAAATCACAGTGGGTGATTTAACGAATTTTCCTAGCACCTTGTATTTTCCAGTTTACTGGCATTTAATGCACTGTTCATTTCTTCTTTTTCATTAGTATGGAGGCTCAGTGTGGTGTAAGCCAATAACAAAGTTTATAAGTTTTGTGAAAAGTTTATTAAACTACCGTGATCGTATAGAATTTTAAATGCTTGTTTCTGAAATGTCATCAGTTTAGAGCGATACACTGGTTATAGCGAAAGCTTTTAAGATCCGTCCCAAATATTCAAAAAGAACGTAGAACTAAAACTCAAAAGTAGTAATTTAGGTGATGT